CCATGCATTGAGAAGCAGTATCAAGCGTGGAAGGGACGATGGCTCGACCCCGTGTAGGACTTCAAAACAACGCGATGTCATGTAGAATATACCCGATCGACTTTCTTTTAATCTTGGCATAACCTTTGACTGATATGTATGTAATTTGCTACAGCCTTTCCAAGATTATAAACTTTGTTGGGCTAACGTTTCGGCGAGTTCGCCTTCGTCAGAGCCTGAAAAAGTCGAAAAACCTTTTTTTCGACTTTTTCAGGCTCTGACGAAGGCGAACTCGCCGAAACGTTAGCCCAATAAAGTTTATAATCTTGGAAAGGCTGTAGCAAATTACATACATATCAGTCAAACGCGATGTCAGTTGGGCAAAATTTCTGATTGAAGTTAATGTGGTCTATTTCACTATGGGATTGTCTACCAGGTGAATTCCAAATCTTTCGCAAATAGGATGGCTTCTGAAACTGCGAATCACCGTGGATTTTGTGGGTTGTCGTCATAAATTCAAACAGTCTTCCTTCCCGTTCATTCCACTCCGTTCCGTAAGACCCGGCATTTCATCCGTTGTTCTAGGGCCAAGTTTGGCATTAAGATCACCGAGGATACCTTGAAGAAGTCTGGTTTTCATTTGACAAGCTTCTCCAGGTCTTTCTAACTTCGTAGGCAACGAATACAGTTGAAGCTGCAGTTGAACCAAAACTTTGTAATGCCAAACGTCCGATTAGGGTTGCCAAGTTCTGTACGAATCGATTTTCATGGACAGTGCGTATTGACGAGGACACCCACACCGCCAGCGCCTCTGCTGTTGCATCTTTCAAGCACCTCTTCTTCTCTATTATCGAAAACGGAGTGCATCGGGCGATGCCTTCTCGTCTCGGTCAATCCGATGACGTCGTATTTGATCGTCCTAGCTTGCATCATCAGAAACGCTTCGATATACGCTACAATGCAAGCATTCATGCGCTGAAACTGCAAGTCGCCATCTTAGTCCTTCTCCTTTTAGGCGGCCCATTTCGGTCCTAAGATTTTTTTCAGGCAGTCCTACCAAACGCTTCCGTACTGAGGGCTCCTGCAAGTTCACTGGAATAAGGCTCATTTATATTACTGTTTTTGGCAGGTAGCTTGCCGGACTGTGACATGGGGGCTGGTTAAACGTCAGATAGCTAGCAAGGCTGTCCTTGAATAATCAAGGAGCTTAGTTGTTGGAGGCTAAACCGAATCGCCTCCTGGACACTCGAATGCGAGCCTATGGCTGAGCCGATAGCACGGTACCAACCGCATCCCCAGACTCTGTACACATGTACGCTGAGGAAATGGAAGGTGTAAATCAACCCATCACAGCAGAAGCAGGCTATCAATCGTTCAATCAACCTGCGTCTCTGGACAAGTATTGGCGGCTTTCGGTCCGTGATCCACGATTTCCGATGAAGAATATGGTTCTGCCGCAAGCCTCCTTGCACACAGAATAAGATTGGGTTGTCCCTCCTCTCTGATCGTCCCCGTATCACCACATAAGAATGGTTGTTTAGCTCAAAGATGTTATGTATGATGTGTTATAACATATTTTGAATTCTGCAAGAAGTTGATACAAATATACATATAGTAAGTTAACAGACTCAGTACAAAATAAATAGTACGGATGGCCTAAGTTCCTAGCGCTTACCTAGCATTGAGTATCAGGCTTCTAGACAATCTTTTAATAAATTTTTTTTTATAAATTTTTTTTAAGTTGCTTTCTAGAAAAATCGAAGACCAACTTCAGGTGGTTCTCATTGCGGCGATATGTTCCCGTTCGAATTCAGCAATGCACCAGATGCTGCAGCAGGAACGAAGCTGATACACCAGCTTATTGCTCAAAATATCGACAGCTGGATTTCGGGTGTTGCAAGCCCATTCAAAATTGGTAAACAATACAAGGATGGCCATAGTACCATCCCAAAACTATTGTTTAAAAAATATTATTCAGAAAGGAAAGAGCCGAAAAAACCATCACTGAGAAAAAAGGTATCCGAGCCGATGAACCCGGCCCCCCCCTTTGAAAGGATTGAAAAGCAAATTCAAACTTTCAAAAAGGCAGCCGACACAAGCAAATGTGAGCCTTTTCGTGTGGGACTTATGGAGCCAGTTTTCGCTTTCGAGTAGGTGAAGTTAAAGAGGACATTACAAGAATTCGACATTTCAGGCTTCAACCATCAAAGTATCGCCAAAAGAACCGAACAATCTTCAGCGCGTGCACTTGGGGAGGGCCCCACATGGATTCGTCCCTAATCTAGACACGGTCAGAAGAGTCATTATTGGAAATCGTCCGATCTACAATTCTTCCGGGTTACAAGATAAAGTAATAGGATATGCGGACACTCATTAAAGCAACAATAGGGGTTTGAAACTGAGCCGAGGAAATGGACGACAAGGTCCGAAGTACAAAGTTCTAAGCTAGAGAACCTAGGTTCGGGCTTGGGAACGTACACCACCCTCTCTTCAACTCTGAAAGATTGAACCGGTCCAATCTAATGAATCTTATGGTAACGTTGTAATATAAATCTAGGCAACATCGCACTGCAGAACACTTCATCTAAACGTATGGAACAGAATGATGTTACATCAAGTGTTGCCAAATCTCCTGTGCAATCGTGCAGGAGAAGTAGCATTCAAAAGGAGGCCTGGAACGGTGAAGTCCAAATTGTAAAAGGGCTATACTGCAAAGTAATTTCCATACTACTTAACACTACCGTGCACCCAAACAATAATATTCTCGCTGGGTGATCGCATATCAGCTTCATCCCCGCTACTTATGTCGTCGGGCGCTGCGAAACGGTAGGTCAGAACCTTTGAGTTGTCCTCAAAAGGGGGTTTGTCCTGAGCTATGTATGAAAACATTTGGACTCCATAGATACGCTATCGAAAAAGCTTATAAACCCTATTTTTCACTAAGTTCGACTTTTCTTCATAATTTTGATTCACAGTAATTTCCAGCTGCCAGACATACCAGCGGAATTCGAGACCGGATATTTCACACAGCCCGTGGACCACTTCGACAACAAGAACCCGTCCACATTTGACCAGGTATTTCGCACCGATAACATTTGATCAGGTAATTTGGTAGTGTTACATGGCCGTATCGGCCCATTACTGTGATTATTATATCGTAGAGGGCTAAATTTACAACTGAATGAAATATGCGGAGCAAGTAAGCAAGCACAAAATCGCAATATGTTATCGGGAAGCAGTTTCAGCGACAAGCACCCTTGAGAGCAACTCCTATTCGAGCTAGGGCTCCATCTTCAGGAAATTATCCGGTAAAGTATTTCACTCCTTCGATGCTAACATCCGGTACCAGGATGTTAGCATCGAAGGAGTGAAATACTTTTCTGTCTAAGAGGTATTCGGCTACTCGCGTTCTGGGAAAGGCTTATCACAAGTAAGCTTGAAGAAGATTCGCTCTAGGTAATTGGGTACGTCCGTGGCGATCAAATTCAAGAGCCAAGGTCTTGATTTCTATCCATGTTGCTAAACAGAGGGTGTGGCCTCCACAGAGACTTTTCCAAATTCATCAGATGGGATCCACTCCACGGCATAGAGGATGGCATAGTGAAATAAAAACTAAAGGTACATATGAAGAAGGCGGAAAAAATTCTAACACTATACATTACAGAGATACTTCAAAAACGAGCAATGGGCAAAACCAGATGGTCCAATATTCCTAATGCTTGGCGGTAACTCACCAATTCATGCTCAATGGGTTCTCAATGAGAACTACACCTACTTGAAATGGGCGAAGAAGTTCGGAGCAACAGTATATCTTCTCGAACACAGATACTATGGTGAAAGCGATCTTAAGACACCGTGGATGGAGTGAGTACATTCCATCTACTTCTAGCTCTTATAATTTCGACTTTTTTAATGAAACTTTCCGCAGATCCACTGACATAACTCTGAAGCTCACCTACACGACCCACCTCTCATCGCGACAAATGCTTCACGACGTGGCTAACTTCATACGAAACGTTGACGCTGAGAATGGTAAACAAGGAAAATGGATACTGTTTGGTGGATCTTATGCAGGTTGGTTTTATCTACCTTGAAATCGCAATTCAGCTCACCAACCAATTCATGATTTTTTTATAGTTGTAGATTGTAAACTCTACAATAGATCAAATCATATAAAATCGAAGAATTGTAGCTGGTTCGAAAACGCTTCCGAACAGAAATTAGTGAGCCGAGTTCGAAAAGTAGGCGAGTCAGAGCATGGATATCGGAAAATATGAGAGCTCAGTCACGCTGTTAGTGTAGTTATAAATCTGGATGATGAATACATGGGTTCTTCTTTCGTATTCTAATGGATCATATAGTTTTGTAGAGCTAATGGCACAACTCTGCTAACGCCGAAAATTTAAAGCTGAGCAAATATCAATTCCAGTCACCTTTGTTTTGATTAGTTATCATTATGACACAAGAACTTTCATCCCATTCCTAATTTCAAAAAAAAAAACTCAAACTCTCAACGGTGCTTCTGTGCAAAGAAACTTCTTTGTTTAGAAGTACTCTTTCCAAGACAAATAATGAAAGTGACAGTTCAGAATAATGTAAGAGTGACGAAGAAAACTCAAAAATCGCCGCACTGGGGAGCTACAAGACTTCAAGAATAGTAAAATCAAGATTGGACGAGAATGTGACGACAAAGGTGGCATGAGAGGATCATTTGTACGAGCTGTCCAGATGTGTGTGTGCCATTAGTTACAACTGGCTAGAGTGCGCTGCTTGTGTGCAACGGTTGCGTCCCGATGCGAATGCTGCAAAGATCGCAACCACCACTGCCCCATGAGAACTCGTCCGCAGTGGGTGTGTATTGCAGCTCACCCAGTTTTAGAGCTCTTATTGAGCCCTATCTGAGCCGTATTCGACCCTGCAGCATCCCTTGTGCTATCCTCGGGGACACAGGTTTATCATAGAAAGAAATTTCAAATTCAGCTTCATCGTGAAGAGTGCCTTTGAAGAGTTAAGGGAGCACTTTGTGATGTAGTAGTGGTTGGGTCTGTGTTCACTATTATGAGCGAGTTACAGGATCTCTAGCCCTTTGGATGCGCAAACTCTTTCCCGATCTGGTTTATGGAGCTGTTGGTTCTTCGGCACCTCTGGAAGCTAAAATGGATTTCCATGGTAGGAAATTTCAGTTGAATTTTGACCACCATTAATTTATGGGAGTTTACAGAATATTACCAAGTGGTTGAAGCATCAATCCGTAGCTACAGTGAGGATTGCGCGTATACCATAGGAGAGGTACTGTAAGAATTCGGGAAGGGCTTGCAGGACTTTTGCTTTAAGTGTTCACATTGGAACAAAGGGCATAACTGCATGTTCAGGGCTTCGAGGAAATACATGATAGAATGCTTACGAAAGATGGGCGGCACGAAGTTTCAAATACATTCTCGTAAGATGCTTATCCGTATTCAGTTTGATTTTCTATAATAGGTAGTATGTTCTTGTTGAGCTTATACATCAACGAATTAAGCAAAACGTTGTAGCCAGAAAAAACAAGTTGGAGTACTTAAATATTCAAAATTACGCCTTCAAAAGATGGTTTCAACTATGCTTCCAGGCTCAACCCTCCATGGGACGATGTCTCCGATGTTTTTGAGATAGATAAGCAGTTCTTCTTCTGGAACCTTCTAGAGAAGTTTGCAGCAGCTGTTCAATACGGTGTAGACAATTTCGGGGTAAGCACTTCAAGTTGAATTTCTTACTCGCTTTCCGCCATGAGAAATGGAATGTTGGAAAATTCTACATATTGCGGAAGCGCTCCAGTCGCATTGCTCTAACGCATGTGAAAGTATTACTGAAAGGGATGAAAGGAAAGATGATAAAAAGGCGAAGGATAAACATCACTCAAAACAACTTGTATGCGACCTAGTGTATTTTAAATTTATAACTAGCAGAAAGTCCTATAACATTATCACGAGTGGGATATTTAACTAAAGTAGCTATGATCTGATACGAATTCGTCAGCTCCGCCTAAAACAGTTTCGGAGCTAACCTCACTATGTGTTTGATCACCGGCTACAGTTAGCAATTCAAGCAGCAATGTCCCTCGGCTGGTGAGAGAATGGTGATCGTACTAAAGGGATGGGATTGCACTGCGTTTCCAGCCAGAGAGGCTGTACTGCATTTTGTAAGCAGCGGTACTGATGAGAGGTCAAAATCGTTGTAGCTTCCAAACATACGAATCACATGGTATGCAACAGACCTACAGAGTAGCAAAAGCTGAAGATGAAGACCATACAGTGAAGAATTCGCATTGCTACATTCAGTTGACAACTGAATAGAGAACTTTTGATTAGCTACTCAGAGCACCCTATCGTTTATCTTAGTAAGGTCAGAGCGCCTCATCGTCCTAGTAAGGTCCACTGTATTAATCAAATGAACACCTATTGCAGCCCAATTGTGCTATCCATTTCGGGTGCCTAGTGAGCAACCTCACGTGAGCTTTCTTGTAACATATTCTTCTTCATATCGTCAAGGTCCTTCCGTAGCTGCGTAAGGTAGCTCGAATACTCAGATCAATTTTCGCCATGTGTAAGCACCACCCCCTTGTTTCTACACTCGATTCATCGGGTTTGCAAATACGCTACGAAGGGAATGACAATAGAAACAAGGGGGAGTAATGTCTGAAGAGAAGTTTTTTATTACTACAATAGGTATTATCCTTAGGCAATCTACCCTTGTAATAGTGAACATTAACTGGATTCATTTGTAGGAAAATGACAGCGGTCATGGGATTGCTGAATTGTGCCAATTCATGAAAACAAAAGAAAACGGTACATCAATGGCGATGAGGAAAATCGGACTGTTTAACCAGTATATGACAGAGTTCATCACGGTACGCATTTTTTTTTAGAAGATTGCCAAACATTAAATAACGTGCTAACTATTGTAACAAAAGTCAAACGTCACTGCTCTAGTTTTTTTACCATACTTTTGCCACTGGGTTAGATCGCTCGAATTTCCAGCCATTCCAGCTTTGCGCTATTTTGTTCATACTTCATCCAGACTTCGCAAAGACCCTCGAAACCATGAATTATGGAAACACACGGAACACCGTAGGATAGTAGTAAAAAGTACACGGTAAAAAAACAGCTCAATAAGAAGAAAATTTGGGAAGCTCTAGCAGCCAGCATTCGAAAGACGCACCCACTTAGACCTCGACTCGTAATAGCCAAAAGATAAATATCAGTAGATTAATATAATTTTCGAAAATCGAATGTACAATCAAGTCGAGCAACATACTGAAGCTATAGTCTTATGCTTACAATTAGTACTACTTCAAAACGACTCATGTTGCTTGATGTTGCCCTCACACCAAACTTACTCTTTCTCTCGCCATAAGGAAAAGTGATCAGACTATGTCCTTTTTATTCTACACAAAATATTTCTTCAAATTACTTCAACAATGTTTGTACGATGATTACCAGGGCACTACTTTCCATTCCACATTCAACAGCTATAGGGACTTCGTCGCCTCGTCATTTCAAGCTCAGTTTTCAACTGATGGAAGTAAGCTTTTTACATCACTAAACTTTAAAAGGCGAATGGATTCGAACAAGCACTATTGATCACGAAAAAATATTGCAAAATATAGGGCGGTGCCTTGAACTAATTCGCAGAAGTGCATTCAGGGACTGTGAACGGGACCGCTAAGTTATGGTTAGGGTTCTAAGGTTCTTACTAAAAATGTGAGGGTAATCACATAGATGCGCCTTCGAGCTTTTCTTGTCTTAAATTGCTGAAATCAAAGCAAAAGAAGAGGGGGACGTCTGAAAAACCACTCAATCATTACGAACCAAAACCAACGACCAGGAAGGACGCAGCCCCAGGCATACCTTTCCAATCGGTACTATACTTGCAATCTACAACCTACAACTCATCTACTACAAAAGTTTTGGTAAATGCAGTGGACGATGATAATATGAACAACCTGTTTTTGAAACTGGCTACTACAATGAATTTGAGAGCTGCAATAGGGCCAAGTTAGTGGGGGGGGGGGGGGGGGG